AAAAAAAAATGCATCTCATTGAACGCATGACGGCAACTCCGACATAATGTATATGAAACCAGTTAGCTCCTGATACCCAGACGGATGCTACGCTTACCCAGCAGGGCGTGTTTCTTCGTTTTCAGGTGCCAGTGCGCATGTACGCATGTACGCAGCATGGCATGATGGCGAAGTGCATTCAAGGTAGTGATGAGATGCTCATGGGTTTGTATTAATACATGTACGTGTATATCAACTTTTGTTGATCCAGATGGATTTGCACTCTTTTCGTCGTCAATGTACGTTATCTAGTGGCGCTTTTCGTAGAGGCGATGCAGTATGCCGATCCCGTACAGCTTCTTCGCGTTATTGTGGGCCCGGGTTTACTGCACGACGCTGGTGCAGTAAACGTTGAATACGATCATGTACGAGCCCGTGTTGCGTAAAGGCCATTGCCTCCCAGCATTCGGCTTTCCCGCTGTCCGACCCTGGCTCCAGTGCCATTTATTCCACCATGGCGACACGCGCAGCCTCTCGGGTTTCTGCAAGACAACTATTACTCGCTACTGTCATTACGTTAGCCGTTTGCAGCTCCGTCACGTCGGCCGCGAAATGCTACCCCAAACAGGCTACCACGTCGGCCCCTGCGACTACAACGACGCCAGACATCAATTTCGATTTCCCTGACAATGAAACCCCGGCAGTCACGGACTCGCCGAATCAGCAAACGACGGAAGCACCAACGCAGATGACGACAGAGGCCCCGGACACACCCGAGGTGACCAACCCTACACAAACTGCGGGGTCCTCGGAGTCCAGCAATGATGGCACCACCGGCTCCCAGCCGGCTCAAGGCCCAATCGAGGGATCAAGTGAAGGCCCTACGCAGTCTTCCACAGAGGGATCAAGTGCCGAGACCCCATCGACGTCCGGTAACTCAACCGGAGAGCATGCCACCTTTGGCGACATCACCTCAGGAAGCGGCAAGTGCGTCGTTGGTGACCCGAACGCATATATCACTAAGGCCGATGTGGATTGGGTCTGGAAGCAGAGGATGTCGAAATATGTGCCGGAGTTCAAGAACTACATCTTTGACCAGCTCGTGAACAATAAGGGAAAACTTAGCTACTGTGTGCGTTGGGACAGCACTAACAAGCTCTCGAAAACAGTGGCATCCAAGTTCGAGGCAATGCTGAATCGACAATTCAAGGCGTGGAACGAGTGGCTTATCGGGTACGACTGTTGGCCGATCGACACGATCGAAGTGAAGATTGTCGGGTGGGCGACGCGCGATGCCTCGCTTTTCGACTGGAAGGATGACTCCCTAGGCACAATCTACACAACTGAAAAGGACTCCGACGGCGTTCCACAGTGCCCGGAGGCCTGCTACAAGCACAAGGACTTCGCGGCTAACGCTGACACCAGCTCTTGCAAGGGAGAGCCGTTCGACATGTCACTGTGGCCTACGAAGGGCCAAGGTGGTGGTGCCGGTGGTGACTGGGGTCAGCGTGTCGACGAGGCATCTATGGTTGCATCAATTGACCAGGAACAACTGATCATCGTGGCTCACGAAATCGGCCACGGTTTCGGCCTTCCCGATTTCTACGAGACCACTGACCAACCCAACGAGGACTTCCCGGTCTGCATTATGAAGGCAGGTTCTTCGCCAACAATTACGCCTGGTGACGGTTGGATGCTACGCCGTGTCTTGGAAAACATCAAGTCCCGTTACAAGTTTTAGGTGACTTCTATCGAGTGTGCATGTTGAAATGACCATACCTAATGCCACAGGTAGCGGTCATCTTGATGTCGTAAACCCAAATAATACTGCATGTTGAGTCAAAATGAGCTTATGTTATTTTTCTGAAAATATTGTGGGAATAGAAAAAAAAATGTAAGCTAAAATTAACTGGAAACTAGAATTTAAACAACTTTACAATAAAGCCCTTTAAAGCTGCCTTACGACACTCACAATAGTTCAATCAGCTATTAACACAAACCATCGCTCTATCCGTCATTTAGCTGCATGGCCATCTGAGCATCTCCTGCGCAGCCGCAGCATCTGCTTGTACTCTCAACTGCTAAAATTTAAAATAAAAAATGTTGGCACTAAGAATTGGTACGACGCCTGGAAATCATGTTTCCCTCGGCTTACAATCTATTCTAGCGGCTTCTACTACTTTCGTACTTCTGTTGTCGTGCAATGCTTCGGATGTCAGCCTTTCCCTCCAAGAGACTTTAGTCGTGGTCGTTAAGAAGGCGATGCGAATCGGGCGGCGACCGCACTGGTGGTCGAACGACTGGCTGGCTGACTGGGAAGAAATACTTCAACTTTAGCCCTCAATGTAGCGGGAGACGGCCATTGTGATGCTGTCGTACGACATGAAGATGACGCCCTGGCCCGGAATTACGCGGCCTAGCCGCGGCACCACACCGGCGTAAAACGATCCTACGCCTTCATGCAGCAGCATCTGACGGAAGCAGTCTAACGTGTTTTTGTATTTCTGCGCTTGTAGTCCCTGCATTCGCGTCTTCACCACGTCGAACGCTATTTTGCAGCGTAAAAACATGCAACTCATCATTAGTAAATCATCAAAGCAATGGACTCACAAGACCGCTGCAGTACGTACGATTGTTGCCGAAGACGCTGAAGATGCCAGCCGTCATGCCGCCGATGAGGCTCAGCGACGCTCGCTGGCTACCAGTCATGTTCTGGGCGTCACTGATGATGCCATGTCGCTCCAGAAACTCGGGGTTCACGCGCTTCTGAAATTCGCTAAACCACATGAAGCGCAGACCTTGATTCGTAGACTACGATTACAATCACAGTGACCATTAGCCTAATTGTCACCACGAACTCTTGCCTATTGCGCATACCTGCTTCAGAATTGTGGCCCAGAGTCCTTGATAAATGCCGCGGATACCCTCCTTGGCCAGGATCATCTTCGTTCCTTCCCACATACCAGCGTTGGCACCGATCAGTTTGGTCTTCAGCGTTTCAATCTACAGATCCACATAACGATAGGTTATCAAGATGAATATTATTTTCATAGTCCTTCAATTGACGTACCGGTGTTGTAGTGAACGTGGCCTCAATGGAGCCGGCCATCATACCTGCTGCGAGGTTGCGCATGGCCGACGTCTTGCCGTTTTCATCCTCCAGTCGCCGCTTGATAAAGTCGAAGGCTCCAAACCGGATGCCGGCCTTGGGGATGGAACCTACGAGCACTGGTGCCAGTCCGCGGTATAGTGAACCGACGCCGTCGGTTTGGATGTGGTAACGGAAGCCTCCGACCATTCCTGTGTACTGGGCGCGCATAGTACCCAGTTGTAGGTTGGTTTTGATCATCTCCATGGGCCAAATGGTGAGGATCTCAATGCCACCGGCGATGGCACCCGCTGTCGTGGCCACCATGGGGTTCTTGGACTTGGTCACCATCTTATTTGACGTTTGGAGAGATTGAAAATGTCGTGTTGGACGTGGCGATGCTTCACTTCTGAAGCTTGACGTGGGATAGCCACAAGAATTTACTGACATGTGAAGAGGCAACATCTGGTGTGAATATTGCACAAACAGTGCGGTGAACCGACGGAAAACTGCAGAATGAACGACATCTCGGTTAGATTGGATGCATGTACACGCTGGCAAAGGCAAACGCGTGAAGCCGAAGGTATAGTGTACGAACTTCACACACACACACTGTGAACTTCACTGAAGTTTGAGCTATTGGCAGGCAACGCTATGGAGATTTTGGCGATTCGCATGACACGTCCTTGAACTTTTGCGTTTTAGCGATGATGTCATTTGTTTCGGTGGTGCTGAGCGTCAAGGCCTGTCTACTACACGTATTATTTCAAGTTGGCTAGGGCGTTCTGCAGCCGCTGGATGCCCAAGTGAATCTCGTCCTCGTCGTAGAAGGCAAAGGATAGACGCGCACAGCGCGTCATCGCCGCATTGGCTAGAACGCCACCGTCGCCGTCGCCGTAAATCGTTCCAAGTGAGCACCGTGTGCCGGGCGTGAAGGCGACACCGTGGCGGTCCACAGCTTCCTTCAGTAGCGCTTCAGTGTGGACACCGTCCGGAAGCTCAAGCCACACAAAGTATCCGCCAGACGGCTCGGTAAATGTGACGTCTGGGCAGTGCTTGTGCAATGCGTCACACATGGCCGCCTTGCGGACTCGAAAGACGCTTTTCAAATGATCAATATGACGCAACAACCGGTCCTGCTCCAACACTACTCGCCGAGTTAGTGTAAGGCTGTACAAGCACAGTCAGCAAGACAGTTGATTACCTGTGTGCACGAGGGCTGCAGTGACAGGATTCTGACCGCCACCGCTACGAAGCGCGCCAATGGTAGACAGTGTTTCAATCGTCTTGGTATTGCTTTGCGCCCAGCCTAAACGACAGGCATCATTGCATTGGAAAATAACCGAGGAGACGTTAAGTAACCTAAGGATCTTACCTAGGCGAAGTCCTGGAGCGAGGATTTTCGAAAAGCTTCCGAGCGAGACAACCAGGCCTGAATCGTCGTATGATGCGAGCGAAGGCAGCGCGCCACCGTCCAAGTGAAGCAAGTTGTACGGCTCATCTGAAATAATACGAAATTCATACTTCTGTGCAAGAGCTACCAGGCGTTCGCAGCGGTCAGGCGACATCACAGCTCCTGTTGGATTATGGAAGAACGGGATTGTATACAGGAATGCAGGAACATCTCCTGCAGCCAGCGTAGCTTCTAGCACGTCCAACTTCAAAATTACACAGCATTGGTCAACCATTTCTTGCAATAATTTCACCAGCCATTCATTACTTACATCAAGTCCATCCTTTCCAGTGCGAATACCCTTCAAGTCCAATCCGAGTTCACGAAAAATATCGTGTGCCAAGAAGTAGGTAGGCTCCTCCACGAACACCCGTTTGTGGGTCTTGGAGAACGCCATGGCAGCGTGGGAGATGGCCTGAGAGTTGCCAGCCGTCACCATTAGTGTCTCTGAGTCGACAGTTTCAGTAGCGTCGGCTCCTGTTCATCGAGACACCAGCAATCGGTCAGATCGTGGTTTTCGCTACACCGTTTTGGTGAATAGTTTACCTGTCACGAGCTTGGCGATTTCCTCCCGAAATCCGATGAACCCTTTAGCAGCTCCGTATTGCAACATTACTGGGTCTTGTGAAGGCGTGAGTCGACCCATTGCAGCCTCGCGGAACATGCTTAGAGGCAGCAGTGAGGCGGAAGGTTGACCGAGACCGAAATTGATGACATTGCTGCTCGTGTGAGTTTGAGCGTAAGGAGATGACTGAACCGACTTAACAGCGGTGAGAGCTGGGCTGGTGTGCAGACTGCGAGGTAGCTCAGCAGCATGTCTTGCATTGGCGAGACGTAATGCAGAGCGAGCATTGGGAATGCGGAACAGCGCAGTCATCTTGTGCGGATACCACATTTCTTTTTGACTTCGCGCTTTTTACTTCAGAATGGGTTTTATTAAATAAAATCCAAAAAGGGTTTTTCAAGTTTTTTTTTTTTTTTTTTTGAGAATGGGTTTATCGAGAATCTAGATTCGAGATAGGGTATCGGGAGGTCACTAAATATCGCGATAATATACTGTAGTAGGGTTCAATGCCTGAATATCTCGAGTTTAATCAGAGAACTCAATACTGTACAACCAAGTTGACAATTCTTTTTTTGTTACCGCGGTTGAGAATGGTACAATGGCAGGGGTTAATTCAACACGTGCCATTTACCGTATGCGCGCTCACGATAATGCCATATTATGGCATTCAAGTTCAATGCTTTCACACTAATAGTTTGTGTGTAAAGTTGTATGTGATGCTGCCTGGTCTTGCTGTCTGATTGCTAATCACGATTTTTTTTTTTTGGGGTGCCAATGAATTATTTCGATACGCCGATAAAATACGTTATCGAGAAGGATATCCAGCTTACATGTATTGTGCTAAAGCTACGAGTCATACATTCATACCATTGTAGTTTAAATATCTGTTGTCTCCAGAACAACCGTGTTTAACAACAATCGCGTTATGGTAGATATACACTCTTCCGGCGAAGCGTCGTTTTGCAAGATTCTCTTCGATTGATAGGTGCAGCCACTGGTTATACTAGCACGGCTTGGGAAAGGTGCCGGTCCACTATGCCAGAGTTCATACTACTTAGTAATAAGCAAGTACAGTCCGCTGTTGATGGGGGGCTTCACGCTTTTGTTGTGGTAACATGTTGATGATGAAATATCAACTCGAAAAGTAAAGTTTGGCACTGAGATTAGTGGCTACCCTAGCCCGTAACCGCAAAGCAAACCGCGAACCGTAACCGAAACGACTTGCCAAAAGAAGTAACGAGTATGTAGCGTTTAAGTAAACGTCTTTCAACCAGCCAATTCATTGCTGCAACTGTGAAGTAGCGCTAGCGGCGCTTTGCTCCCTTTGCGGCTTTGGAGCCGGGAAGCGATTGCAACGAGTCAATTGGCATAAATTCTCCCGAGAAGACTCAAGCAAAATGGTGATTAAGTAAGTGCGCTTAGTTTTTCTATGAAAATGTCGCTGCGAGCGAGTGAGAGGCATAAATGCGGAGGAACCGGAGGCGTCGTCAAGGCGTATCCACATATACAGGCATAAACAGCGGCGCATGACCCACAGATAGCGAGGAAGCTCCACAGATCAGCCGCGACTTCGATAGCTACAACACCAACGCTATCTTGTTGCCTCCTCTCGCTCCAGCTTCGACAGATCAGCAGCGCAAAAGAAGTGATTCTAATGACGCCGTTTTGACCTCCTCAGGACCGAGACGTGCTCGTTCAGCGAGAGCCGCATCTACCCCGGCCACGGCTCGCGTTACATCCGTCGCGATGGCACGGCCTACGTGTTCATCAACTCGAAGAGCAAGTCGCTCTTCATGCAGCGCAAGAAGGCCACCAAGATCGTGTGGACCCTTGGCTGGCGCCGCATGAACAAGAAGCTCAAGGTTCGTGTGATACGCGCCATGATAAAAGGAGCAACAAGGCTTACTCATCTGCTTCGTATTAACAGGTTGAGGAGGTCACCCGCCGTCGTGCTCGCAAGACCACCAAGATCCAGCGTGCCATCGTCGGTGTCTCGGCTGAGGACGTAAGTTACTGGTTCTGACGCTGCTAATCCAGTTGTGAACGCGATTGCTAACTTAACTCTACACTGCCAACTCACAGATCCGCAAGAAGCGCAACCAGAAGCCGGAGGTCCGTGCTGCCGCCCGCGCCGCCCTGAAGGAGGCTAAGGAGCGCAGCAAGGCCAAGAAGTCGGTGAACAAGGCCGAGCACGGCAACAAGGGCTCCAAGGGCAGCAACGCCCCCCGCGCCCAGAAGAAGTCGGGCAACCGCGGTGCCATCTAAATCAGTTGATTTGATCAACTGATCGACGCGTTACTCGGGAGTCGCCAGCTCTTGGATGCCAATCATTGACACGGGAAGTTCTCTCTTTGCTGCTTTCGAGCAATGGACCGGTGCTCTAGTGCCGTTAGTTTGGGCGCAGTCTGTGCTAAGTGGAGCGAACACAATAGACGCCAGTCTTGGAGGGAGAATCGCTTCCTATGTCATTATCGTTTTTACTGCGTTGGGCTCAACGAGTATCATTGTGAACATTGACTGAAGCAGCTACCCGGGATGCGCTTCATCTTCTCGTACGTACGAGCCATGTTGCGTCAGGGTCTGAATAAGTTTGACCGAGCGGTATGGCAAGTTCAAAGTCACATGTATCCCCGCCATGCAAGCACTTATGCTCTGCTATACAGTTGGTCCTTCTGCCTTGCAAACTCGCATGCATTACATGTAGCACCGCATGGCCTTGATAGACAGACACCCGCACCAGTCAAAAATGCATGGTTAGAGGCGTTACCTCGCGACAGTGACCACTTTCTGCCCTCCACTCGAAGTTTGTAAGTCAGTTGCCAATCTGCTGCTGCCGCCATGTCAACAGCCACGCCTCCGCCCGCTCCCGTAAATGGCGCCGCCTCCAGGGAGATGACGAGCAAGGACTACTACTTCGATTCGTACTCGCACTTCGGCATCCATGAGGAAATGCTCAAGGACACGGTGCGCACCAAGGCCTACATGAACGCCATCCTACAGAGCAAGCACCTCTTCAAGGACAAGGTCGTACTGGACGTTGGCTGTGGCACCGGCATTCTCTCGATGTTCGCCGCCAAGGCTGGCGCCAAGCACGTCTACGGCGTCGACTGCTCGAGTATGCTAACTCATGCACGCGAGATCGTCAAGGCAAACGGCTTCGCCGACAAGATCACGCTTATCCAGGGTAAGATGGAGGAGCTCACACTCCCTGTGGACAAGGTGGACATCATCATCTCCGAGTGGATGGGCTACTTCCTGCTCTACGAGTCCATGTTGGACACGGTACTATACGCACGTGACAAGTACCTGGTGTCTGGCGGACTCATGTTCCCGGACCACGCCACGCTCTACATCGGCGCCATTGAGGACGGAGAGTACAAGGCCGAGAAACTCGACTTTTGGGACAATGTGTACGGCTTTGACATGAGCTGCATTAAAGAGATCGCCAAGGTGGAGCCACTGGTCGATACAGTCGGCAGCGACGCTCTATTGACCGATGTGTGCCCCATTCTGGACATTGATCTGACCAAGGTCACCAAGGAGGAGCTGGCCTTCTCGTCAACGTTCAAGCTGACTGCTTTCCGTCAGGATTTCTGCCACGCGCTGGTGGCGTACTTCGACTGCACGTTCTCGGCAACACACAAGAAGCTGAGCTTCTCTACGGGACCCAAGGCCGAGTACACACACTGGAAACAGACCGTGTTCTACTTGGAGGATGAACTTGCTTGCAACCCCGGTGAAATCATCGAGGGCGAGCTGACATGCAAGCCCAATGCGGCCAACCCTCGCGATCTGGACATTAACATCAACGTGCGCTTCGATGGCGGCAGCGGCTCGTACAACCACCTGCACGAGTTCAAGCTGCGTTAAGCTGACATCAAGACAGAGGCCTCAAAGTAGTAACACTACGCAACCCCCAGAGTAGACTAGACCACTTAACACCATTTGAAAGAAAGATACTCAAGACATGTTCATCTTCCACGCCTACCCTGGTTTTCACACATTTATCGTGCTAGCACCGCTGTATCCACTTGCTTAGCGCTTGTCAAATTTTGTTTTTTTCCCTCTATAAATACAGTATCTTCCATCCTGCTGTCTCGTAGTGTCAGGACACCACCAGTCAATGGCGTTTTTACTGCTGTTCGATGTCTTCCATCTCCATGTCTCCGTCGGCATCTTCCTCCTCAGCTTCTTCGACAGAGTCTGCCTCATCATCCTCATCGTCCTCCAGGTCGATGTCCTCTTCCATACCTTCAGCAGAATTGCCATCAATGACAATGTCCGTGTAGTTGTGGTCGAGCTGAGCAGCTGCCTTGACGAGCTCCTCATCGTCCACAAAGTCCATGTCCAAGTCGTTGCTAGCACCGGGGGCACCAGGTGCTCCAGTCTGCATGGCACCGAAGCCTGTGCCATTAGTCGCATGGTTGTTGCCGTCCTCCATAGCGTTGGGATCCTGGGCACCCGCCGGCGACCAGTCAATGGGGAAGCGTGTGACACGTGGCTTGTCTGCCAGGATGTTGCGCTGCAGCTTGCTCACGTCCACGCGGGCAGGCGGGTTTTCCAGCAGGAACGGGTCGGCATAGTCATTGTTAACGTAGTAACCCACGCGCACGAACTCGCGACCACGGTATGAACAGGTGACGAGTGCCACAGTGACGCCAACTTTGTCCTCGTCCGGGATCATGTCCGGGTTGGGCGGGTCCGATTGGAACACAAACTTGTTGGTGCCCACGGGCACAGGGCCGACTAGCACCTCCTCAAGCACCTGATCGCGACTCTCGTCCTCGGCGCAGCCTACGTACGTGATCTTCCACTCCAAGTCTACCGCAATCAAGGGATTAATTAGCTTGCAATGAATGGAATAGTAAAAAAACAAAGCAAAAAAAACGCAGAGACTGCACCGCACCGGCTTCGAGAGGCTGCGCGCACTCGAAAGTGACCTCGAACTGGAAGGGGTTCGTGAAGGCCGTGGGGTTGTCCAGCACAGTGATGTTAGTGAGCGTGACGTAGGCCATGGTACTGCTGGTTAGAAGAACGAGAAGGTTGGGGAATGAGAGGGAGAGCGAGGCTGGGGGTGGCTCGAGTCTTGATGGCCGAATGAGTTGCGTGTTGAGCGCGGCAAAAGGATGGTACTGTGAAATGTATGCTAAGTACGATCTTACCGCGCCAAACTTTTCCCGCCATTTTTCTTATGACCAGTTTCAGTTTTGCATTCACTTCAAAAAATTATGTTATCTTATCTACGTGCCCACTGTGGTTGAGGCTCTATCCACACGAAAGCAATATTCAAAAAGCTGCCACATGTCCTAATACTATACAGCTCAGGGCATCTTTGACCGGAGAAAGCCGTCCAGCGTGAGCTGTCCGACTTTCCTTCGCTTCCTCACGAGACGCGGTTGAATCGCACCTGAATATGAGGCTCCTGAAGGGAGCGAAGAAGACATGACCGTCATCGTGTCAACAGAGGCCGGCATAGATGTCGGAACACTGGTAGACACGTCATTACTCCGTGCGGGAACCGCTTGAATGTCATCGCTGGAGTCAAAGCAGCCATCCCTGAGTTCGATGACGCTGTCGGAAGATGTCTGGCTGGCCTCACTTGTAGTGGCAGGCGTAGGTGAAGCCATGAGCAAAAGCCGTCCATTCACTGAATAGCTGCTGGAGTTGTCTATAAACGAGCAATCTCGTTTAACCGAGCGCCGTTGTTTCCATTGCGGCTAATAAACATAGGTCGATTGTCAGTGATCATCCAAATGTAACGATGTCATTGCCAACAGCCTGCAACTCACCTTTGCTGCTGCTTTCGGGCTTACTCCATTACTCGTTTCCACATTTGAGGGTCGAGACGTTGTCTTTGTCTTACTTACGAGGTTTACAGCGACATCAAATCCGTCTAAAAGACCGCCATAGGACGCAGTCAGTGTCTACATTTCCTTGGGAAAAGAGGACACACACTTACCGCTCAACGAACCCTCACTATCATCGGAAGGGGGCTCCACTACAGCCCTCTGTTCCGGGATAGCTATCGGTAGGAAAGATGAACAAGCGATTCCTTGTTCTTGTGGTCTACAGTGTGTAGTAGATTTACTACTACCATCAGAGATCGAGGCAGCTCGGGAGGCATAAATAATGTCTGCGCCACGGCAAGAAGAACAAACGAGATGAGTAAACCAGGCAATACAACCAGATATCATACAATATGTTCACGAACGCACTGTCAAAAACTTCCGATGCTTCTTCCTGAAATTGGTTCACTACAAATCACGCACAGAAACAAGCACAATTAGAGACCCATTACCGCTATTATACCACCCTCTTCACATCAGGTGCACAAATCATTACCATCCGTGACGTCTTGCCAGCTACACGTCTGCATATACTGAGAGGCTTGCGTTGCTATATCTTGCTCTTCATCGCCTACACCATCGTGATAATAGACGATATAAGCGCTTATCAGTATAATAAAGATGCCAACAAATAGCATCCCCACACACCGTCAAAGTCTTGGCTCGGATTAATGTCCAGGCTGTCCATGTCCGTCGAGTTCTGTTCGCCACGCAAATCGCCCTCATCAGTCTAACCACTTCTAAACTCCACCGTCCCTAAAGAAACTGATAACACACATATTCCACAAAGGCGGTGAGCTGCTCTTCCATATCCAGGCTGTCTTGTTCACTGTCACCGGCAGTGTACTCGCTACAGTCGCTGTCTGTGCACTGTTTCTTAGAGTTCAGCAGCTTGCGCTGCTCGTCGCGCTTGCGCTTCCGGGCCAACACCATTGCGGACGCGGATTGCCGCGTCTTCGAGTTCCTGCAGTTCCATTCACTACCGGCGCGTTTGGGTGGTTCAGACTCGTCCCGCTGGATGTGGGAACGCCACGAACAGGCGCCACTAGTGCTCGCGCTGGACCCTCGGAAGTCGATAGTACTGCTGCTTTTGCTCTTGTCCAACACCTCTGGACGCGGCAACTCCGCACGCATGGAGGCCATCATTGGAGGCAATGAACCGGAGTCGAACTGGGAGGAGCAGCTCTCGTCCACCACGTCGTCCTGTGAGTCGATAAGCATGCGACGATAGAATGAAGAGAAATCACAGACGCGCTTGTCTGGCGGCACCCACGGTACTTGGCTCAATTTATTGAGCAAGAAACAGGCGCGTGTTTCAGACAAGTGGAAAAAGAGTGACGCTTAACTTTTGCAAGTGAAGTCGAGGACGATTGTCACTGAATCGAGGGGGTGTACCGTGTCGCACCTATAAAGTTTCTGTTTCATCGTGGTTGAATGCTAATGCTTACACATCCTTATAAAATTCAATACGATTCACTTAGAGTGGTTCTGGTTCCAAAACACCTTTTACTTAATATGGGATCAGTACATCTTCTCGTCGCTCGGGTCGAAGCCGCTATTGAGTGCAGCGCGGAACTCGTCGTTCGCGCGCAGTAACTCGGCGATGCGGTCGTAGCGCTCTGGGTCCTTGCGGATAAGGAAGATGAAACATTCAGTGTCCAGCTTGCCCTTGATCGTGGCCAGCTCCATCGCCTTTTTGGTCTACAACAGCAAAACGAAGCACAACATTGTCACATGTGCCCTATAGTCATTGAATATGGGGCTGTGCATACCATTGCGTGCACATACTCGACCACGAGATCCTCCATTAGCTCGGCCGTTTCGTCCAAAGGCTCAGCCTCATCCCCAAAACCGAACAGCATGTGCTTGACTGCAGGTATAACGGATTAACGACACCACGGGATATTAATACTTTGTTCTTATATATACAACGGTTCCAGTTGCGTCCTCTGTGAGAAACTTACTGCTCTCGACCAGTTCTCCGCGTACAAATGGCTTCAGTTGCGCCTGCATCGTGTGTGCCTCAGCTCCGGAGCCGTTTACCGCTGCTGCCGCCGCTGCATCAGTGGCCAACCGCTTGGCCGGGGCGACACCTGACTTGGATACAGCACCCACGTCGCTGGTCTTACGCTTGCGCGACTTGGGTGCTGCCTTCTTCTTCGCCGCGCTGCCGTTGGCCTCTGCAGTCTTGCTCATGGACAAACTACCCCTTACTCTGCCAACTGTTGCAATTTGCAACTTGCAAAGCTGCTTCTGGTTGGTATATGACTGGCAGAAAAACGGTTTTGACTTCGCTTCTGATTGGCCAACGTTTCTGTCGAAAATAGCTTCAACTACTTCAATGTCAAGTGCACTTGCAACTCTTCGCGCACAACGATCACTGCCATGGGGAATAAGCCGTCGATGATGAGAAGCTCGTCGCGTGCTGATGACTCAAGCACGCCAAGAGTGGCAGCTGGAGGTCATTCTACTTCAGCAGCGGTGGCGGATTTCCAGCAACCAGGAGCACCACCTAGTGGCACTGTGGCCAAGCTGTTGACGTCGAACATCGCAAGCATTCGACCTGTGGAGCAGACGCCACGAGTTCCCACACCACTAGATCAGAAGTAGGTGTTAATGATTGCTTTATTATGTAAAGTGGTTGTACATTGACGTACTGTTTGTAAAGGATCACAAATGCAATCAAAGAGCGCTGGCAGGAGCGGGCGCAACAGGAAAAGGAGAAGGAAAAGTACGTGATGCCGCAGCTAAGAGTAGTCTGATTCTTCACACTCAGTGTTGATCCTAATCTTTTGTGTGGAATGTAGCCAGTTCACGCGGATTTTGCTGAAGCTACCGCAGGCAGCGGTAGGTTTCTTTACAGGATTTAAGATTTCAGTGATTTCATCTCCTAATAATGTATTTGCGAATGCAGGTTGCGTTTAACAGCGCACGTTCGACGTTCAATGCTTTTGACAAGGAAGGCAAAGGCTACATTGAGTTTAGCGATTTGTCTAGGGTCTTCGAACAACTAGGCGCGAACTTCTCGTCCGAAGAAATTGGCCAAGTTTTTGAGGAATCGGATATGATGGAGGATGGAAAACTTAACTTCAACGAGTTCCTCGTTTGCCTTGCGATCGGCTTCGTTCTTCACGTAAGATACCCTGTGCTAAAGTCAGTTTGTGACTCACATCTGACAGTGATGCTGAGTTTACACAGAAAATTCCATCTCTGGAAAGTGAACAGGAACAACAACTAAGCATTTTCTACGCTCCCATGTAAGGCTTCTTTATTGGTAACGCTGCCAATATTCTAAATCATTCCGGTTCGCAAAACATAGGTCTCGAATCAGCAGCAACAGCAGCCGGACTTCATCAGCTGTATCTAGCCAATCCATATTATTTGGAGATGTGAGAATCAACGTAGCAGTATCGTCTCGCTTTAAAAAGTGCTGTGCTGATGGCACGTTTGGTTGCTTTAGGGAAACAACCTGCGGCTCGCATTCCAACTTGCCGTCGATGCATTCCTATGGTTTGATGTTGATGGTAACGGCGTGATTAATCGGTAAGTGCTGTGATTTTCATTTTCAACCGAATGATGCCGATCATTTTTTGCGGTTTGAGCAGCGATGAAATGGTCACAAAGCTAGAGAATTCTATTGTGCTCCATTCCCCAACGAAAAAGATGTTCACAGGGGATCGCAACAGAGGTGCAAACAATTCATCTTGTGTCATGATCTATCCCGAAACTTACCTTAGTTGTGCTTGACAGGCTCAAGTGACGACTCCAGCAATCGGGCCATCTGGGAGCAGCGTTTTATGGAGATGGATTGGAATGGCGATGGTACGATTCACTTCAAGGAGTTTCTCATGGCTTTTGAATCCTGGGTAGGCCTTGAAGAAGAAATGTGAACACACCACTTCACGACGGTCATCATCAGCAAAATACCAGTAGCTGAATGGCAAGGAGTAAAAAAAAAGATCTCATTTTAATCAGAACATCACAAGGCGAAGAAAAGGCATTCTTTTTGCTTTAAATATGTTCTTGCTTGCGTTCACTTGGTTTGTTGGCCTGGACCAACAAACCATATTACATTAGAAATTGCCACTACTACACAAAGTGGCAACTGTCAAGGCGCCTACAAAGGTGGCGTTCACGGGATCTCTGTTGTTCGCGTGTGAAGTGGCAGCTCACACGCACCGGAAGACTCGTCGGGGTCGCTTAGGAATCTGGTTAGGCAATGCTGGCGCAAGAGCGTCGCTAGGTAGCTGAGGCACGTGTTCCAGCAAAGCCCACGGGTCTACAGGCGCATACTCCGGCCTGGTTTTCTTCGTGGTACCAACACTTTGAATCGATGTCACAGTGCGACCCACGAACACATTCGCTGCCCCGAACATGTTCATCGGACGCGGCAGAACAGACCAAACACGTCGCTTTAGTTCATTAGGGAGCTGCAGAGCTTCCACAAGTTCCTGTAAGCAACAAAGTATGTCAGTCGGCGAACATTCTACAGCTGCAACAGCTAAGCTACTTACAAATTGTCTGTCGTGGAGGACGGAGGCGTTGACGATCGGGATGAGGTCTAGAATCCAGCTGAAGAGCGACAGTCCTGGGCCAATGGAGACTACCGACGTTCCTAGCAACGCAAACAACGTCTTGACGATGCGATCACGATAGCAGATCGTCAAAACAGCGTGCTTGCTTGGTCCAATGACGCCCACAAGCTGCAGTCTCACAGCCAATTTGCATCGAAGGCGACGCAGGAAGAGACTGTTGCGAAGACCAGGTTCAGACTGGGGCTGTGTGTCATAAAGTAAACAGCCCTCGTAGAGCCACTCAAGTTGCGCAGCAAGTGACATCATGTAACGCGGCAAGAAGGCGTTTCCAGGAGGTGTTGCCATAATCCCGCCCACGAGATGTACGACCGACGTCGTGTTAATTTGTCGCGCGAACTTGTCTGGTTGTGTGTGCTTGACATCGTCTTCGAGAATCTGGAGGATTTTGGCAATCACCGAGCCCATGGCGCGTCTAGAGATGCTACACACCGTGGCAGCATAGAGAGATGCCACCGCCGAATCTTGAGCCTCCCGCGCTGCCTCGAGCATACGAGCTTCACACGGAGTCAATGAGCTCTGCATTGCTGCTACTGTCATTGGTAACGCCGACTTCTTAAGGGAATCGCTTGGTCCTGGCGTACTTCCACGGTGTTTGCCATCATTTCCGTCTCCGTGCACATGGTGCGGCGTACCGTAGAGCTTGGGTGTAGCAAGCGGAGACGACGACGAGAGCGTAGTGATTGTTGCAGATGTCGTCTGGGGTACTGGTACCGACGACGTCGAAGAAGATGATGACGAAGTCGATCCTACCCCGGGCGGTGGTCGCGAGCTGCGCTTGAGGGTGCGCAGAACGATCAGACTCGACAAGATTTCAGTGGCGCTACTCGACTCGTCAAAACCCAACTCCAGCTCCAGATCATCATCATCAGCGTCTTCTTCTCCATCCGAAAAGTTGCTACCCAATAGACTACCACCAAACGAGACTTGTTTATCCGCGAAAGATGTTTTGCCGTCAGTAAAGCCATTGACTGCAGCTGCCACAGCGCCGTCGCCGCTCTCCACAGCTGCGCGCTTGCTAGAGCGCGTAGAGAGCTCTCCTTGCGGTGCTTTCCGTTTGTTGCCAGTCTGGGGCTGCGCTGTTTGCTGTCGAGAGCGACGCTTAGATCGTTTCACTTTCTGCTGTTGTCGACTCATTTGCAAGTCGAGGTAAATGGACCCTCCTCGATGAAGTGTCCAGACGTTCATTTGGTCGATGATTTGGTCAACCTTGAGCAATTGGACCTGTCCATTAGCGTCCTCTGCCGGCGATGAAGGTGGTCGGAAAAAGTGCGTTAGCAGAACGGCTGTGTGCCATTGTTTCTTGTGGTAAACCGGGAGGATGTGCTTTTCACGGGCCTCTTTCGTGTCGTAAAAGATCGTATCGCGAACAATCCCGTCGGATGTCAAGTTGAACAGCGTAGCGCTAGCCAACAAGCCACGCTCTTCACGTTTGCGAAGTAAAAAGTTATCCTCCATCTGGTACGAGATCTGGCACAGTAGGAAGCACAATGGGAACATCAAACATGCCGGCACCTGGGAGCGCAGGAAGCGCAGATGGTATTTCGTCTATGTTGTCGTGACGGACAAAATCGGTCAGTAGTCCGTTGAATAAACGGCAAAGCGCAACAAAAACTCACCAAAGGCTCGTCGAACATGACCAACTTTTGAGGATCAAGCAGAAGATTCTGCGGAGGTTCAGAGAACAGCTGGAAGACCAGTGCCATAGCTAGTAGCTGCGTCGGCAGGTTGGGTGGAGGATCACGCGAGGCACGGCGCTGGTATCACAACAGACAAGTAGCCATGTTAACCAGCAATCATACAATCATACATACAATGCCAAACCGTACCAGTCGTGGGAAGAGCGGCACGAGCACCAATCGGAGCACCTGGGATAGATCTAACACTTTATGCACAACCAGAGAGACCAGGAAGCTCTTGAGTCCGTACTGCAGTCGGTCCAGGCGGCCTTTCTGGTTGAGAGCGAAGGCTTCCTTGCTATTGTCAACATTCAAGAACGGATTCCGCGAGCGCTTGGGTGTGTCGCTACCAGCGAAGCCAGGCAGCACTTCCTTTTGTAGCCATACAACCAGGGTATTCGAGAACTTTTCGTTGAACTCCTCGCCGTTATCAGGATGCTGTTCCACGACCTCGCGAATGAGACGTACGCAACGGTGCACATAATGCGGGGTAGTGATGGGCCGCTTGCAGTTGGACTTGATTCGAGCCGAGATGTTGGCCATCCACTTGTCCATAGCCTCGCTCAGCACAGCTCGGAAGAAGAACACGTAGTTAGGCGTGCGCCGCTCCCGTGTAGCATTCGCGTTTGTAGACCCCACAGACGAGGACGTCATGCTCATGTTGATGGAGTTGACTGCAAAGTCGATGGCGCTATCGCGGCACTTGGCTTCGGCTACTGGGGTTGCTTCGCCAACAACCTCCTGCCACGATAAGCTCGCGTAATTAGGCTCAAACGCTGCCATGGACTCGGTCGATGTGGTGTCTTGGTTCATGCTATTCGGACTCTGTAGCGGGGTACTGGTTCCAGCACCAGGAGTTGCTGGCGTCTGCTTCCCATCGGCACCAGGACCATCAAAAGAACGCGCCTGCAAGGCTTTGAACGACTTGGCCAGTGCACTCTTCAGCTCCGGGGGAAGCACCTCGCGGGGTGGCGGGATACGCACGATAGGGTTCGTAGCCTCAAGTGACAGTTCTTTCTTCTGATTCCCGTTGGCTCCAGTGCCATTTGCATTGGCCCCTGTGCCATTCACGGCTCCTCCTGCCGCTGCATCTTGGTTTTTCCTTGCGGTTTCTGCAATAGGCTTGAGCAGCGCGAATGGCAAGTCCAGTTTAGCGATCTCTTTCTTCTTGATATGTGCGTAGTACATCTTGCAGAAGAACTGCGCCACGTTGCCGGCTTTATCATCCGCGTTCTTTGGGATACGATGAAAACGGTCTACGAAAGACTGTAACAGGAACGGGATCTGGTCCGTGGCACAGAACGCGAGTTCGTGACGTTCAATCATTGCCAGCACGACATTCTTGACGAGGAAGCATGGAGAGCGTCGCAGGAAGTGTACGAGTACTTCGAGAAGCGCCAATATATCCACGATTTCAAGAACGAGGCATACCAGCCGCATCACGTGCTCCACACTGCCGTAGTCCGAGAACCTGAAGAACGTCACCTCTTCATAAATATTGTGTAGAAACCAGCGAGTGAATCGTCCTTTGTCGTGGCCGCACATGGTCTTCACAGCTGAAACCAGCTCGCCTACTTTGCCCTGATACTCCACTTCTTTCAGTACTCGACTGCTGTCCCCTGAGCTGGCACTTCCAGCAGCTGGAGTTGCACCTGCAGCTCCTGGTGTTCCAACCATCGGCGTATCATTAGCCTGACCGTGCGTGTGAAATACGTAGATACAGAGTGACTGCGCTCGCTCCAACGTCTTCGAGTAGTTGAGATGTTCACGACGAAGCTCCATGACTTCAAGCCAGCGCAAATAGTTGAGTTCGCCATCATAGCTATCGTCCGGAAGCATTGGCACGCACGTCGGCAACGGGAATGGGCTTCGAGGGAGCTGCCACAAGTACAGCTTCAGTCGGTCGCTCGAGGAAAGTAGGTGGATATCATTGGACTTGTATCCTCGCCCTGGTGAGCACTCGATGTTGTAGGCAGTATGAACCACTGGCGCTGATTCTCTCCTCTTGGTAACGCCAGCAGAACCCCCAGCTCCAGCGGCTAGAGTTAGCAGCGGACTGTTGCTCATTGTAGCCGCTGCTTCGTTACAACACGAGGCGAATTCCACGAAGCTGGCCACACTGAACAGTCGACGTCGGACCAGAAGACAGAAAAGCTCAATAACCTGAGTTACTTCCGTGATAACCTTGGGCTCGTAACGATGCAAGAAATTTTGCAACGCGCTTTGAAGCACCACCTGATGGTCTTTAGGCCCGCAGCGAGGTAGCAGTCCCTTGCTGTTAAATAAACCGTACCGCACAGTCAGTTTACGTGATCACCTTCAATGAGTTACTCACTGTACGTACTCTTTGCCGTATTCCAGTAGCGTGTTACTATGCATCTCGATCAAGGCCAGCGCAGACAAATACCGGTATTCCGCTGGTCGCTGGTTTGTCACTGCCCACTCGCACACTAGGAAGAGAGCAGCGACGTCGACAGGTAGCTCCGCGGAGGATCCACTTCCGCCTGAACTTACAGTGGGGAGTGGGCTGAACACTTCGCTATATACACGGTGTAAGTCTGAGGTTGAGTCCACGCGATGAAACCGGTCCAGCGTCTGGAGAATCTGAGCCTCATTGCGCATGGTAGCGGCAAGCACCTGACCTCCACCCGCCGAATTGAGAGATGGACATGCCTGTTGTAGTCGCACAATACGTCCAGCGATCTCCTTGTTTTTACGCTGGCAACGGTCGATACAGGCCTGTATTGCAGTCGCACCATAGGCATTGCGGCTGAAAAACCGATCGGTGAATACGTAAGCTGGCCATAACGGAGGCGCTGTGCATGCATACGAACATGTAGTTAGTACGAGATAGCAGTCTTCAGCTTAAAAGCGACGTACCACTGTCCTCAAGACGAACGAGAACGTCGTTGCCGTTGAGAAGGATATCGCGCAGCAACTGACACAAAGCCACAAGGAGCTCTTCTTGAAGTGCGCTGCCTGCAGTCTCTGGGGGTACGGGACGACCAGGAGGCAGTAGGTAGCGCAAATGTTGCAGCACTGTTTTTACAAGCACCATAACCGTATCCGCGGACAGCAGTATCTCCGGTAGCAGTTTCTGGATCACGGAGATCAGCTCCATGATATCGTTCACTCCAAGCGGCAACACGGCCGAACACCGTGTGGGACCGTTTGCTCCACGCTGTGATCTTGGTGTTAAAGACTTCTGAAGGAGTGACAGCAATCCGTCAAAGTAGTGTGCGCGGTCTAGCAATCCCATCTTGAACTGGTATTCCGACAGCTTCAGCACGTATGACCATTTCTCATGCCACGATAGTGACGAAGGAGAAATGTCCACTCCACCGCTACCCGTAGCAGCCTGAATAGCAGAGCCAGTCCCAGTTGCGTTTGTTGACGTTGGAGCTTCTCCGTGCCGTAGCCTTGGAGTCATTTTTGTATGCGGTGCTAGCCCCTTACTAGCCGCTACCGTCGTCCCGCTGTTGTTACTAGATACCTGAACGCCATTCGCCGCTGGCTTCGCTAGTCCCTCCATTGATCTGTTTTCCGTCCCTGTACTGGTGTCCTGTGCTGCCTGGCGCGCCACTGAATGCAAGTAATCTACAAGCTTGTCTGTCCATCCCTGATTCCGTCGCTGATTCCGCCGAGGACTAAAGAACCAATCACCTGTCCGAAGAGCGCTGTCCCGCTGAAGCTCCCTCATTTCAGTGTACACTACATTAATCCGGACAAACCACGTAGCATCAGCGTACCCCGGTCGATACCTCACCACAAACTCGAGAAGTGGGCATTTCGATACACCCGGCACTGCTCGCCACTGTTTGAAGGGCACACCATGAGCCTGTGTAAGTTCTGCAGCGGTACGAGCACCACTAGCCAGCTCACTCATCCAGACATGACTTGTACGGTCATCCAGTCGCCGCACATGGCGGATCAAATAGCTAGTAAAAGCCCGCTCTACAGCTGCGGTGGCCGCCACTACACCCTCCTCCGCTCCAGCACCTTTTGATTCCTCGGTGTCTTCGCGTAACCGGCGAATCGCGCGAGTGGCTCTCGTGAGGTCGTCAAAAATGGCCAATTTCTTGTCTGTAAACGCTGAATATTGCAGATGCCACTGCTGATTGAACCCGCGCGGCAGCGGACTCACAAACGCTGCGTTGCGAAGCGCATGGAAGCGAAATTTTTCCTCTGGGAAATTGGCATTCGTCGGGAACACGCTCGGGAACATGGCCAGCTTGTCTGTTACGTACGGGTGCTCCGGGTCCTATAACAAAGGTCAAAGTTCATCAAAACCCTATTGTACGCCATACCCTAAAATTAACAGTAGACCTACTGTACCTTCATGTACTTAACGTCCATGCCGATGACACGCGTGGCCGCGTCTGCCGGCGACAGATCGTTTCTCCGGGCCCCTGTCCGGTGCATCAGCAGCAGGTTTTTCCTTTCTCGCAGACGCAGTGCTGGGCTACCGGACGCACCGAACGGACTACGCCCACCGCTGTTGCGCCGCTCTCTAGAGCTGCCACTGGCGTTGGCGTCCCGGGACCGCGAGCGCGGCCGACTGCGTCCGTCGCGGTCTCTCTCACGGTCTCTGTCCCTGTCCCGGTCACGGTCCCGATCACGATCTCGATCCCGGTCGTTGCGGTCTCGCTCCCGGTCTCTCGAGGACGCACTGCCCACCGAGTTGGATGAACCCCGGCGCGGCAGCCCGCGACCTGAAGAGCCCGACGACTGATAATTGCCACCACCATTGCCGCCACCCGAGCGCCCGCCGTGGGATGAAGAGCCGCGGTCTTTGTAGACGGGCCCGCCGCTAGAGCGGCCGCCGGCCTTGCCGTCGCTCGCGTGGTAACTCTCCATGCCACCGTCTCCGGTGCTCGCAACAGACAAATGTATGGGCATCTTGTCGGCCCCCCTGAGTGCTACACCAAATGTACATGAAATTGGAGTTGACAAAAGTAAAAGGTACGTGTTGCTGCTCCAGACTGGGAGCCATCTGTTGTCCTTAATAAGGGTATAAATGTCCTTATTAATGGCCTAATAACGGCTATTTCTGCATAGAGACTCAACTTTTCGCCCGCACGAAAACACAACAACGCTGTTTCCTTCCCCTTATCATAATGTTGCTCAGTTTGGAGAATCTAGTAGCCTCTCCACTAGTGCCCTTAATCATACTACAGCACCCGCTCAACGCTCGCTGGAAGCTACGTACCAATGCTTGCCAACAGCGGCAAATTGGCTGTTTTATGATACCAGTCTGGAGCAGCAACCACTCTCAAAGTAAAATTGGTTGAACAAGCTGGAGGAAAAAAAATTACCCATTCTGAGTGAAATTTGTGGGGTGTGATACCGAAACATCGAGCATATCAACTGTAGGTACATGTAAATCAACCTGGTGATGAGATGATTTTTCAGCAGCTTGTGATCGACGTGTCTGCTAACTCATTTTGATCCAAAGCTTCGACCGCCTTACAGCGCTTGAAGCAATGTCACGTGCGCTTACACACCAAGTGCAAATATCACGTTCTCCAGAATAGGCGTCTCAACTAAAATAAATGTACATGAACTGTCCTCAAACACCGTGGTCTCCTTCACCAACATCACGCTGTAGCTTCCACCTCGCAATTTGTCCACCGTGACATCGGAAACATTGCTGAAAAACTGAAGTCCTTTAGAATGTTTTTTTTTTCGATGCACGTTTATCAAGTTTCAGATCAGTTCGTTTTGCAAAATTTCATTAAAATATTCTGGCAGAGGCAATAGTTTTCGCCACTTTGCATTTTGTATCATGGCGCGAGGAGAGCATCAGCAGTTGCTGCCCAAGAGCGACGACATCGACGTGCAATTGTCCGTGCGAGACGGGCTAGCGACGACCATTTCGACACCCAAGCGAAGAGTGCCGCGAGTGCATCGAGCTCGCTCTTGCGCGTCACTGCGTGCAGACATCTGGACACTGCTACACTACCGCACGTCGCTAAAGCAGCGCTCGGGTCTGCAGCGGGCATCGTATATCTTTGAGGTGTGCGTACTAGTGCTCATCACACTCAACGTGGTGTTGGCCATGTATGTTTCAGCTACACCACTTGGCAACGAGCGTACGTTGAAGCTACAAGGAAATTTTTGAACATGATCTTGGTGAGATTTTGATTATTGTTCGTGGATGTGACTGCAGCGGTGACAAAGTCCGACTGGTACGAAATGTTCCTGTACGTGTCGACGGCACTCTTCACTGTGGAGTACCTGATGCGTCTCTGGTCGTGCATAGAAGACAAGCGCTTTACACATCCAGTGTGCGGAAGGTGGGCAAAGATATTGAAGGATATCTTCAAATTGAGAGTGGAGTTAATGGTATTATTGTTGTGGCTATCAGGTTGAAGTGGATGCTCCGACCGATGTCTGTAATTGATCTCGTGGTGCTGATTCCGTTTTACCTGGAGATCTTGCTGGAGCACCAGTACGGTGATGTGCTGTAAGTTGTGGGCGGAAACGATTTCTAACGATGTGGTGCTGGATATGGATGGTTTGTGTAGACTTGCTGTGTCGTCACGGGGTGTTTTGACACTGAGAGGGTTTCGATTGTTGCGAATCATGTCGTTTCTGCACTTGGAACGCTCCTACCAAGCGATGAAGAATCTGCGCGAGATTTTTGCACTAAAGAAGGAGGAACTCGCAGTCGTGACCTATTTGACGATTGTCATCGTACTAACGTCATCTACGACCATGTACGCGATTTTGTGATATTATGGGAGCTTATATTATAGTGACTGAGTTAACTTGGATTGTAGCTTCTTTCTAGAGAATCCAGCGCAACCAGAGGTATTCACAAGCATCGGCACATGCTCGTGGTGGGCTATTGAAACCATTACGTCTCTCGGATATGGCGATATCGTCCCCATTACTGCTGCGGGCCGCGCTTTCTCGTCTCTGCTGGCGCTCTGGGGCATCATCCTGTTTACAATTCCTGGTAAAGAGAATCTATTTTCGCATGTGTTGAATCTAACTTCGCACTAACGTAATGCTCATAATTGTAGGTGCTGTCCTCGGCAGTGGCTTCGTCGAGGTCATGCTCAAAAAGCAGGAACAGAAGAATGAGCAAGCCATGGAAGAGTCGATTCGAACGTCACTGACACGAGAGCTGCGTACACTTAGCTCCAGCAATATATTTTTTGCAGGTACGTTCGCCGAATTCACCGAGCTTGCTGTGCTCGAGTGCTGATGCTTACGTTCAGCAGGCAATCTTGACTCTCCAAGAACGGACTTAGACTCGCCATTAGGGGCAACCCAGTCGTTTTCAGTTCCACCTTCCGCCAATTCAACACGGTACGACTACCCGTCGTTTGCGGCCCCTGCACCCCCAGTCGTGCGGCTTCAAGAGCAAGTTGACAGGCTCAACGCAACACAGGTTCGTACATCGTACTACTTGATCGGTGCCAGGTAAGCCCAAACCTCACACCTCCCATCGTACAGCTTCAGCTCCAAGCGCAACTAAATCGCCAAGAAACTCAACTACAGACAATATTGGCATTGTTGGAGAAGTCTCTAGCCCAGTCAGACCCGTCAGAAAATGCCGTGCCACCATTCAGCGCCATCGTGCCTCCTGAGTAAGCGGACAAGTGATGGATAGTGAAATCATTTCTAATACATGTATACAATGTATCCATTTCTAAAACAAATTTTTAACCAATCAGTGCTCTTCGTGGTTATTTCCTTTCAAAAGTGACAGAACACTTTTGACCTGCGCCAACATGCAGAGTACGTGCACCCGACATTCCTGTATCGGCACTCTTTAGCCTCCAACACCATAACAACTACATGCTCACTACAGACCCCCACGAAGAGAAACAGAAGGCACTGTTGCAGCGCATCACCGGCTCGGTAGCTCGTCTCCACGAGGTCATCAAGGAAATCAACACACAAATCGAGGTGAGTGGGCATGCTTTACGGCTTTTCGGTCATATCCCATTTGAGGTGCGCAATATACTGATAAATCACTATGTGCTGCACTGAAACAGAAAAGCGACGCCTTTCGGGAAGAGCTGGCGTTCACATGTCAAGTGTGGAAGGGCTACGAAAGCCGCGTGCAGCCGCACTGCGATACTGCAATTGCTGCAGCTGCGCAACAACAGCGACAACAAGAGCAACAATTGCAGCGGTAGAAGAACTTAGTGAAGTAACCCATTCCTGGAATGAGCACGAATTGTTTAACACTTGATGGCGTCCTTTTCCAAGAAGTTGATACAGCTCACGTTCTCCTCGGATTGGTTACTCCGTTTGCTGCCGAATCACTTTACTTGATGGAGAAACATGTTATACTGCAAACTTATGTTGATCTTGAAGCTTGGACGGTGTTTGATAATACGTGGTATGGAGCATTCGAACATCACAATGCTTAATCCACACATTTTATTATTCCAAGTAAAACATAAAGCTTCGGCAGTGCCTTACTTCCAATCACTTGCGGTCGAGCGAATACCCTGAAAACCTTTCTCTAACAGCATCTTAAGACCTTTCTTTTGCAGTGATTTATTTTAATTAACAGAGTGAACAAAAGACACGATGAGCCGAATACAATATTTACAATTTTTTTTATTTGACTCGAAACGACGCATGATGAAACGGGTGGCGATTACCAGCAGTATCGCAGTGAGAACCACAGGAGCCGGAGAAATCGCTTCTGCAGATTCAAACGCTTTTGACAAGAAGCTGACGACGGTGACGACGATTTCTGCCTCCTATGACCACTACATGGCGATAGCAATAAGACGATGAACCAAAGCGACCCACATGATATTAATTCCGCAGGACCCGAAAGTTCTCTAGCTCAACACGCAACACCAAGTCTCTCGCATGCTTTATCAGCCAGACTTTTTAGCAAAACTGGATCACGAAAGGGGCCACAGATTGCACCAGCGCCTGACAATAAAATGCATCAACCAACTAGTCACAGTTCCCCCGTTCCCCCGTTAGCTGGTTTAGATCGTGGATCAATGCGGAGAGGTTCACTATCAGGCACAATTCCAGTACCCAGCCATATCCCGCCACGTCTCGGATCGGTTGATCGGTTTTCATCCATGTCATCAAGGATAAACAATCGAGAGTCAACCGGACATAATTCTCAGCAAGACGGAAAATCTCCTCCTCCCCTTCGCAAGCAGCGCTCAGCTTTGGCTACTCAACCAGGACCCCCAGGCCCTCGTCTACGAATTCTCATTTGGATGGCTCAGTTTTACCACACTTACAAGAGGCCACTAAGGTATATCTTGGACCCACCTTTGTTGGATCCACGCAGCAACGAAAAGCTCGGGTGGGACGCGCTTGTTATGGTTGTTGTTTTATACAGTGCCATTATTGTGCCCGTGCAAATGGGTTTTCCTGAGATACAGCTAGGTGCCACGGTACGAACAATCGGGGTTTTTACTGATGTTTTATTTTTTCTAGACGTACTACACAACTTCTTCGTGGGGTATTACCCAGATGACGATGAGAATATGATTCGGGATCGTTTGCTTATTGCGAAGCGCTACCTCGCTTCGTGGTTTCTTCCAGATGTGCTCGCTGTCATCCCTCTGGACTATTTTCTTGTCCAAAGCAGTGGAAGTAATTCAGACACTGTCGATGATGGAGACAGCATCTCGAACGCGCAAGTTCTCTCGTTACGGCTCACACGACTAGTCCGACTCTTACGCATTACGAAACTAACACGGTTGATCAAGCTGCGTCATTTCGTTGCAAAAATTGAGGAAGCTTTCGATCTTGACGCTGTATTAGCACGGGTAACCAGGCTTATCGGACAAGTGTTATTAGTGACACATATCTTTTCGTGCTTTTGGCACCTCATCGGCTTTACTACGGAAGATGAAGGGGTCACTTGGATGATCGAGACAGACGTACGTGACAAGAGCGTCAGTGATCGATACATTTGCAGCTTCTACTGGGTGGTGGCAACTCTATGTGGGGTGGGCTATGGAGATGTCCATGCAACCAATAGAACCGAGAGACTTTTCTCGATGGCGGTATCAATCGTCGGCGCCAGTGGCTATGGTTTGATAATCGGCAGCCTCACCAAAATTTTAGAGAATTGGCATCGTGAAACTACGACTCGTGCACGAAAACTCAGTATGATTCAAGCGTTTGTTCGAAAAAAGCGGCTACCTCGGAACCTGAAGGGCAAACTGATGCGGTACTTTCGTCACTATATAGCCAAAACGAGTGCTTTTGACGAACGCGAGTTGCTGTGCGAGTTTTCACTATCTCTTCGAGGTGAAATTTTGCACGAGACATACAAGAATACGTTTTTTCGTATCCCAGCTTTTCAGCGGCTCAGCACACAGTTTGTTCTAGACATGGCAATGTTTATCAAGCCTCTTATCGTTGTAAAGGGAGATATTCTCGCTCGAGAAGGGTGCGTCGGGACTGAGATGTTTATCCTTAACACTGGCATTATTGAAGTCAGACGAATATCCCCCGACCATACTGACTGGATAGTAGTGCTGGAAGTTCTGACCGAAAGAGGGGTATTCGGCGAGGCGTCCTTGCTTCAGTATGCCCCACACACCAATTCTTACACAGCAAAGGCTACGAGTGACCTTTTCACACTCCCTAAAGAAGTTTTTGACCAACTAATCGAGGAATTCCCAGACGCTGAGCGCACATTGCTGAACTACCACCAAGAACGTAGCAAAATGTACGATTTCGTATTCGAGCAGACCCTTGCTCGCTATCGTATGTATATCGCCTCTCTAAACAGTGATCCGGTATCTGGAGTTACCGGGCTCGAAAATCTGTACCCTACACTAACAGTTTTGCTTGATGGCGTACTGAAAAGTTATCGGTCGTTGCCTCTGCCAGTACTCCAGGCTCTTGATCTTCAGTTGTCCATGGGAATATCAGTCTTCAATTCGGCTAATGAGAAGATGAATATGATCTGGCTGCTCTCTCAGGATACCAAGTCTGGTGATCCACAGTCGATTTGGCAGCAAATGAAGTGGAAAATACTCACGCCGATCAATCCTTTCCATTGGTCAAAGCTCATGTGGGATATTGTCACTAGTACACTTCTTCTGTACTGCGCAATCGCTGTACCATACGAAGCTGCGTTTCTCGGTGTAGATGGAGACACAATCAGCCCCGGAATGGACATCTTAGTCGAAATAATATTCACGCTGGATATCATTATCAATTTACGTACCGCTGTGGTTATTGATTTCCGTGGTGAAATTCACACTGTGCTCGAGCGAAGAACGATATGGCGCGAATACCTCAGAGGTTGGTTTTGGATGGATCTGTTGTCTGCGCTTCCAGTATCGGTTGTTGTTGCAATCTCTGATGAGTCGATTAAAACAACTGGAGCCTCTGGATCGTGGGTTCTCGCAATGGTCAATTCTTTTCGGCTGCTCAGACTAACGCGAGTCTTTAAGTTCATCCACACGCTTCAGCGTGAAGAAAGCTCAACAGCGCTAGGAGCGACGATAGCTGCACACCACACTACTGCCCGAGTCGTGCGTCTCATTTTTCGTGTGGGATTTATCGCACACGTATTAACCTGTGGGTATTTCTTAGTTGCACGTATTTCTCGTAGTGCTAATGGAGGTCCGGGTATCCAGTCTTATTTTCCTGCTGAACAAAGCTCAAATGGCGAAATGTATATTTACTTTCTCTATTGGGCTGTAACCACGATGACAACGGTGGGTTACGGTGATACCATACCGCGCAATATTACTGAAGTTGCGTATGTTTCGATCGGAGTTTTAATCGGCGCTTCGACGTTCACCTATGTGGTTGGTACTTTATCCAGTGTCGTTGAAGAGTTGAATGAATCCTCTGACACTTTCCGAACACGAATGGATCACCTCAAGGCTTATCTCCGTGAACGAAAAATCTCCCAACCATTGGCCGAGCGACTTCGACGATACTATGAGTACTATTTGTTGCAGCGGGATGATGAAAACGAAGAAACGATTCTAGCTGCGCTCTCGGATGATCTTCGTAGCCAACTGGTCTTGCATTTAAACAGAGATGTTGTGAGCAAGATTAGCTTCTTCGCGACACAGGACGATGCGTGCGTGAGCTACCTCATGGGTATTTTGGATCCAGAATTCTGTACGCCAGGCGAGTACGTGTTTAAAGAAGGACAGGTAGGTCGTCACATGTATTTCCTCGTCAAAGGAGCAGCCGAGGTGGTGTTTAAGGCCGGCACCAGTGAGGAGCAAGTGGTGGCGACTTTGCTTGAAGGCAGCTACTTTGGCGAAATTGCTATGCTCACACGATCCAAGAGAGCTGCCAGTATTCGTGCCAAGACGTACATGAGTCTGTTTGTGCTCAGTTTGCATGGCCTCGACCGGATTTCGATGCATTATCCAGAGATGGCTCACAATATTATCCAAGAATTCCGCAACAAGATTACGCACATCAAAAGCACGTCGGTGAAGCAGTTAGGGTCCCTTGTTCAAGAAGATATCAAGCAGGCACGAGTACGGAGCGGCTTACTCGCAGCTTCAACTGTGGCTGTCTCGGGTAAAGTAATTGGAGAAAATCGCGGGAACGGCACGGAACTGCACAATACGCTTGGTGAGCTCGAAAGCATTTTAGGTCGAATTGTCGAGATGTACGGAGGTGGCGATCGTGGCAAACGCAAAGCGCTTACATGCGTCATGCAATATTTGCACAAGTATCAGTTCTCCATCGACGATTTCCTCCAAGCCGCTGAAGAGCTAAACTACGGGTCTGTGCAACCTGCTGCCACTAAAAACACCACGCCGAATGAGGTAATCAATAGCCTGCAAATGCGGATGCGACGGCGATCATCCTTCACACCACAATAAAACAACGTTCTTGTAAGTTGAAAAAGTAATCGAAATACTCCGTACTTCACCCCATGTACTTGACCTTAGTCTCTCCAGTTAGCGTCTAGATCCACGACGTAGATCAGAAGAGATCCAAGCCACCAAAGCTTGAAGAAGCTCTGCATCATGCAGCTTGAGCTGCTGATCGGCTTCTGACAAAGGTCTACCACCACCATGCTGAGCGTTGTCATGCAGACGCTCCAAGTGTCGAATGAATGAAGCGTGTAAACGCTCGCGTAGCAGCGCAATCCAGCGCGCTTCATCATATCTGCCCAACTCGTACACGATCCAGTCGTCAAGCACAAGCAGCCACTTGGCCACGACAGAACCATCATTGACATCCATATCAACGTCCTGTTGCTCCACTGTCTGCAACTCCACAGAGCCCATAAGAAGCGCCTGCAACAATTGCGATGGCAATTTCGTGCCATACTTGGCAACACGCGTGCGCTCAGACTGCATCATTTCATGGTACACAAGCCATTCATCTGGCGGGCCGAGCTCCTCCTGTTCAGAACCCATCTTCCGCTTGTGCTTCTGGGTATTCGAGGCGGTCCACGTTACCATAGACGTGCCGTCCATTTTCACCTTCACCTTCTCTTTCGACGTCCAGTTGCGACTTACGCCTCCCGAGCGAGTGAATAACGCATTCGGGTACATCCCAATACTGAGTGCCATCAAGTACGGAGTAATGCTTTCCATTGTAGCAGGCATCCTCGACACAGGAGTAGACACGAGCTGCGTTGCCGGTGACAGCCCCATTAGGTCCAAATCTTGCTGGAGTTGTCTGTAGATCGAAAAAAGTTGCTCAAGTGTCTGTCGATGCAGCTTGTTCCGAGCACAAAACGCATCCTTGGCCTTGAATGATGAGCGTTCTCGCGCGTCGAGGTACGCCTCAAACGCCTTCCAAAGCACAAAGTGGTCGCTCTGCAAGGTAAGACCTAGCGGTGACCCATTGCGTGCAAATGCCTTCTTGGATGCATCCACCTGACGCTGCTCCTCTGGTGACATACCAAGGAAACTGATAAAAGGATCCCGGTATCCGCTCAGTGTGCAAGTGGTCTGCAGGATCGCGCCGAAGCAGCCGAATGTGTGGCCCCACAGCAGAAGCTTTGCCATCTGTACAGAGACACCTCCAGTGCAAATGTGGCCCAAATGCCATCCCAGCAATGTCAATGCCTGTTTGCCTTTGCCGCTATTTGCCAGTGCACGCATATCTTCTAAGCGCTGCAGTGAAGCATCAATTGAAATCTCGCTAGGCGCATCCATCGCCTCCAGCAGAAACTCCTTAGCGTCGTGGATATGAAGCTTCTTTTCAAGCTGGAGCAGCTTGATTTGCAATAGCAACTCCTCCAACGGTGTCGTCAGCAGCTCAGGCTGCATGAATTCCTTCATACCAGTTTCGTATCGAGCTTTCGAGAAGATACGGAAGCAGATACCGGCACGCACACGACCGGCACGTCCTGTACGCTGCACACAATTGGCACGAGCCACCCACGTAGTTTGCAGTCCCATCACAAAAGACGAGCTTGAAGTCGAGGCTAGCGCGTGCGCCTGCTTTGACTTGCCACAATCCACCACAAACACCACATCCTCGATCGTAAGGCTGGTCTCTGCGATGTTCGTAGCCAGAACCAGTTTCCGCTTTCCATAGGGCGGAGCCATGAACGCGCGACGTTGTTCCTGAGCGGACAAGCGCGAGTGGAGAAGAGCAATCTCGTACGTTGATGACGTTGCCGGGGAATTGAGAAGAGCTCGCTCCATAAAGGAAATCTCCTCCCAACCAGGCAGGAAGACGAGAATGGCTCCTTTTCCAGCCTCATCTAGCGGGAAGGTGCGGTTCACAAGGAAGAGAAGCTGTAGCAAAAGGTCATAATCCACAGCTTGATCTTGTCGTAGTGCGTCTTGCTGCTTCATGTATGATGACAACAGAGCCTCCTTGGCGTCGTCATTAATCTCACTCAAAGTGGCTTGCAGAACATCCCCCATGGCCGCGACTGGCACAGACACAGGAGCCATTTCTGGTTCAGGAGCCGACGGTGCTCCAAAGTCAGCGCTAGGTTCCCCGAAGCAGGTCGCCACATGCATACCAAATGCCTCCTCGTCGGCAATTCTTGTGTCGCCACACAAAGGACACTCAAGCCCGCTACTCGCAGGTGCTGCAGCTAACTGACCACCTCCGATACGTCCGACACGTGAATCGTCCATGATGGGCAACGGTGAGCTCCGATCACTCTCCAGCAATGCTAGTACATCTTCGAGAAAAAGTGTCGTCACGGGAAAGTTAGTACCGCCCACCATCTGCAGTACGGGAGCGGGGAAATCTGGCTGGAAGTACTGCGAGAACTTCTCCACCTGAATCGTAGCGCTCATCAGAATAACCTTGAGGTCCGGTCTCTGCTTGAGAATCGACGTCTTGATAAGAATCAGCAAGAAGTCCGTAAACTGGTCACGCTCGTGCACCTCATCCAAGATAATATGGGAAAATCCTTTAGCGAGTGGGTCGTTGTTAAGCCACTTGAGTAACGTTCCCGTAGTACAGAAGATCAACTTCGACCGCTTGGCATCGAACGATGAGTCAAATCGAATGGCATGACCCACCTCCTTCGGGTCTTGTCCAGTGCGTTCACGTGCAACTCGTTCCGCAAGTGAGATGGCGCTAATTCGTCGAGGTTGAGTACAGATAATCCTCGTCTCCTCTCCACGTCCTCGCGCCAACGCATCATCCAGCAGAAATTGCGGGATCTGCGTCGATTTACCGCATCCTGTATCCCCCGACAATACCACCAGTTGATTTCTCTCCACCAGCTCCAAAATGTGCTCTCGATAACCGTACACTGGCAGCTTGGTTGCTTCCACAGGTGGTGTCCTCACTACCTTGACCCCTGTTCCCTTCGAGTGACTTGGTAGGGGCTTAAAAGGCGATCCACCGCCTCGCCCATGGTGTCTCTTTGGTACCGAGGCCAGTGGACTCAGATCTTTAACACTCCACGGGTCCACTGCCCCCTCCATTGGAGCGGGATATCTTTCCATGTATGCCCTAATTACCGGTGGGAACCACTCAACTGTCGTTGCATTAAGCGGTGCAGCTGGCAGCCGCAATGAGACTTCCTGCATGGCCGCGTTCTTCTTGACTTTGGCCACGTGGATGAAGCGGCCGGCACCTTTCTTGCCGGAGCTCTTGGAGAACAGTCCGTACTTTTGTGCCATCGAGTGGATATAGCGCCGCTGCGTGTTATCGTAGCTGGGAGGGAAGCTCATCTCAGTACGCTCACCGTCTTCTACTAGAGCTTGGAGAGCCGCGTGGATCTCCATGGTGAAGCTCTCATCCAAACTGATGGCAGGCTCGGACGAGCTGTTCGAGGCGCTTCGACCGTTAGACGACGTAAATCCATTGGAAGCAGCCAACCGACCACCTTGTCCCCCACGTCCGCGACCTCTTCCACGACCTCGATGACCACCACGCCCACGATAGCCACGGCCAGAGCCGCTACCTCGAGCCTGCCACCCGCCATTGTGCTCCATTGTGATCTACTTCAGTACCAGTACTCTTTTTCTGTTAAGAAAATAAAGTACTATATTATTAGATTCAAATAGGGTTGGAGGTTCAACAATCAGATCTGATCTGTTTCTGATAAGTATCCGAATTATTGTTTAATTTCGGAAAATTATCTAAACCAGACCTGATCTGAATCTAAACCAGACCTGATCTGATTCGGTAGAAAGTACTATTAATGAAAACAAATAAATTTGCAATGCTATTAAATCAAAACACTGTTTCTTTAAAATTAATAAAAACAGTATTATATTAATAATACTTTTTCTGTAGTAAACGGTACTTATTGCCGCATACGATCCAATCTGATTCTGATAATTATCTGATTTTTAGCGACAGAAGTGGTAAATCACACAGAACGAAGGTCTGCCAGACACAAAATGTAAGAACACGCATGTTGCACGCCATGTCACATCACACTACACAATCCACACGTGTGGCACAATCCATTGGTCAAAACACGTCAATCTCGGATGTCGGCCCACAGCTGCTCGTGGAAGATATGAAGGTGTTCATCATCGTCAGAAGCCAGCTGGCTCCATGCGTCGTATGTGCGTTGACTAAGCTAGCGACATGGCTCATGAGGACTCTCAGCTACTCGTGGAAGATATGAAGGTGTTCATCATCGTCAGAAGCCAGCTGGCTCCATGCGTCGTATGTGCGTTGACTAAGCTAGCGACATGGCTCATGAGGACTCTCAGCTACTCGTGGAAGATATGAAGTGCTCATCATCGTCAGAAGCCAGCTGGCTCCATGCGTCGTATGTGCGTTGACTATGCCAGGTACCAACTGCTGAGGTGTTCCTCAGAAACATGCAAGGAAGCGATGCCAAATGACGCATGTCCGTGGAAGGGGCTCACGTGTCAAAGTGTTGACCGCGTGACGGTCATGGAGACTGATAATTATGAGACGTTGGTGAGAGAGCCTCAAAAAGCCAAGTTGACTCCCCGACTCGAGGACTACGGCCGTGAAATGGCAACACAAGGGCTGAAGCCCGTTCGGATTCGCAATGAGATGGCTCGTCGGTTTGGGTTGGCGGAGGCGGAGATACCGATACTGCGCCAGGTGCAATGGCTTGTCAGCAGCTATTCAAAGAAGAATATGCACCGCAATGACGATCATGACGAAATACTGGACCAAATCGATCAACTGCCTTACGGTCCGACCGTCTCAGACACGAGCCATTTCATTCGAATAGAAGCGTGACTCAAGCGGTAAACCAGATGTGGGAAATGGCTCTGACGAAAAGTCATGTTTGGTGAAGCTGACAACCAAGCGTCTCCTGCTCAATGCAGCTCGAGACCCGGAGTCATTTATTTTTCGCATGGACGCCATATTCAAGTTGAACCAAGTCGGCATCCTGTCACCGTGTGTGGGATCTCGGACAAGTGTCGGTCTTTTCACCTTGTGGATCTCTTCATTACGTCTCAGCGCTTGGAAGATATTTACGTGTTGGCGCTAACGGAGCTGCGCAGGGTATTTGCGTCGGTGTCCAGTTGGCAAATGGTCGTCAAGTTCGTCGTGGTGGATGCCAAAGCTGCTCAACAAAACACAGCGGCGCAAGGTTTTGGTGTGGATCCCGAATCATTTGCACCTATGCCTCGTACGACTCATTGACCCAGCAAATCACGCCGTAACCTCGGCGCGCCACATCATGGCCACTCGACGTTATTTAATAAACTACTTCAATTTCACCCAACCTACCTTCTCCACGTTCAATGCCACATCAAGCATCTTCGGCGGATATTTGGGTTCCTTTCTCCGCCTCGAATTATTACAACATCCACGCCAATCTGCGAGATGTCAAGGTAGAGGTGATTCAAGCTTGAGAGTGCCGCTAGAATCACTTGATTGTCAAATACAGCATCTGGTGCAATATCTTTCCAGGGATGCTCCCAGAGGTAGCAGGAACCGATTTAGCACAGCTATTTCTTGCTCTACATCGCTGTCGTATGCGAAAAACGTAATTTTTCAGACGCCAACCTTGGGCAAAAGACGACCGTACTATGATGATGCAATCCATTACAAGAATAACCCTTGGTCAGAATATACTACGTGGTTACGGATAGTACGGTATATTATTTGTTGCTGCAGATCAGTTTAACGTATGTAAAGGGCAAAAAATCGCACTTTTAGAGACTGATTCCTACTGTTCTTTACACGGAAACCTTAGAGGGCAAGACAAAAAGCGCCTTTGCATTGCGAAAAGGTTAAACAAAATCGTATGACTTTCCAAGCTTTAAACTCGGCTGCAAGGGGGGTTTAAATCGTACGTATTTGATTAATATAATTTCATTGACTAAAGCAATGTTGTACTACCGCTAAACTAAGAAGCAATGCAAAGCAGAATTGTACGGTTTACAAAAAAATGTACTTCTCTGTCCCACCAATTTATACGGATTCTGATATTTTTACACCACACCAAAATGTTATAATCATATTATTGGATAAAATATTTAGGCTTAGGTATTATCTTATCGACAACGAAACCCTAGCTGTGTCCACTAATTCCGCCGACCGGCGGAGATTCCGGAGTATTCTTCGTCGACCCCGCAGCACTTGTGCCGACCCAGTGGTCGAAATCACTACGTTAGAGCGACCGCTTACTCAGAAAGAGAGTCGTTTCCGCTACGGTCTGTCAAAACTCCGCTCAGCTGAATTGAATAGCAGCAACTGTCCTATGCAATGTTGCACTCATAGAGAATCGATTTCGCACCTAAACTTGTGGTTTGTAATGATTGGACAAAAATATCCTGTGATTTGAAGCATATTGGCTTAACCGGCAATAAACCTCATCCAGTTAGTAGTGGCGACTACTAGTCTTGAGTATGGTGGTTGCGCTGTTGTGGATGTGATCGCCAGGACGGAGTAAGACTCTGGTGTTTTATCCTGTAGTTTCGCTAATTCCCTGGTGAATTCCGAATACAAATTTTCACTTGAAATTTGACCGGACGTTCGACGTGTTATTTACTAGTTGACTACTGTTATGAATCTGTAAAAAATATATAGTAAAGAGTACGCTCACAATAGGTTTGAAAGAGAGCACTCCGGTTGAAATCGTGGTTCTGTAGCTAGTTAGGTTCTCAAAAACCAGAATTTCTAGAAATTGGTGGAACCGAGACGTATTTATTTAGCCCCACTAGTTTTAACATTTTTCCGAGTGTTTTACCCTCGCTGCTAAACACTTTGCAGCCGCAATATACTGCTACTGAGTCATTGCAATACTAGGTGAGGCTGCAGTTCCAGGACGGGTGGATTTGCGTCTATGCTTAGGTTTTGGCCCCGTTTCTTCATCGTTTGCCGAGCTCATCTCTTCTACAACGACTCGGGGGGGGGGGGGGGGGTGCGCGGTGACGTGTCTTGCACAACAGCGGAGACGCTAACTAGAAGTAGAAACTGATGAAAATACGTCGAACGGTAGGTTGCCACGTTGGGTACAGCTAAGTCGAATAGTTATGACACGTGTTCGTCATGTTGGAGTACAACCATCACCGCAGACACCCAGGGAAAGTGCTCGCCTTACCGATTTCTGCATGCATTCATGTTCCTGAAAGCTAAGGATTCCACATATGAACGTGGTATGGCCTACTGCTAACGCCGATGACGCAAACCATGCATTGTTCTTCGAGACACGGAAGGATGTGGAGCGACTTAGTAAGCGCTAGCATGCCGTCCTGTTTTTTCTCGCAAACAAGAGCCAATTCTTGCACGAAGGCTAAACTGATCAATTGCGCTCCTTCTTGTATTGAGTGAACACCACGACCAACTTTGCATCTCCGATCAGCAAACTGCTCCACTACCTACATTAACCATTTCGCCCCTTACAAAAGTTCAATAATCTGGTTCAACAAATTTGAGGTTTGCGAAAGGGTTAATTGGATATGACATTTTGCAGAAATTACCGAGTCCGTCGTTTGCAGCTTCGGAGAGTTTGGAGGCAGCTTCATCGTAAGATGGTTGCTCATGAACTTTCATTGAGTACATAAATCAACCAAATTTTTTTTGTCGATAGGATTTACGTATTCTACTACAAGAGGGTATCCCCTAATCTGGAGCTGTAAACGTTCTAGTCATTGTCGCACTCACTCCGCGCTATTTGAAAGATGGGCTCTCGCTCGACGAGTGTAAGTAACGAGCCTTCTTTTTCCACGCCAGACATGCGGCAAACACAAAAACGATAGCTACAATCTGGATATATCTTCGACACTGAAGATAGCATTCCTTCTCGACGATCCGATACGATGACGGGTTTCCACATGCTCTAGAAAGCGCTTAGAGCTGACGCAGTGAAGTGCAATATTCCATGAGAGTCCTCATGAGCCATGTCGCTAGCTTAGTCAACGCACATACGACGCATGGAGCCAGCTGGCTTCTGACGATGATAAACACCTTCATATCTTCCACGAGCAGCTGAGAGTCCTCACGAGCCATGTCGCTAGAAACAGTCGTCCACTTGGTTATTGGGGCATCTTTAGTCGGGGAGGGAGGGCTTCAGACTTCAGCGTTTTTCAGTATGAAACAAGATATTTGCTGTCAAGAACAGATATAAACAACGGTGATTGACTCATTACCTGTTAAAATGATGATCGAGATCCGCTAATACTGAGTGACTGATACTGATGAAGTCTGAACTTGGGGAAGAATGAATAAGTCAATTATTTTGCATTATGCTAGTGCATACATGCTTTCTATGATCTAACCGATTTTTCATGTGTACAAATCCCACATGGCCTTGTTGTACGTGAGGAACACTAACATCTCCAGTGTTGACAGATTCAGCCGCATCCGTAGGTCTGAATAAACCAGCATGGCCGACGAGAAGAACCGTTTACACTCGTTGGGCGTAGGTGGAATGAAAACAACATCGTCATACCGCGCTTCGAGGTCTTGTGTTTCTTGGACACTTGCTGGGCCACGGAAGGTCCGACGTAGACTGCGTTAAAGAACTTGTCTCCGTTGTTCCACGATCGGCACGCGGGAAAGTAGCGCCGCCTACGCGCTCAGCAGCGCTCAGCGGTTCCTTCCATAGAAGATTAGCGATACCGCTCTCTCAAATTCGCGAGGATTGCAGCTATATGATTATGTCAAAAACCTTAATGACGTAAGTTTGAATGGCATAATGTGTACTAGTCAAATGGAAAGCTTTGTCGTGAGGCTGTTCGAGAAATTTGATTTGGTATGGGCTTTGACCACTTTTGAATACCATATGAAAATATGAGGAACATGCAAAGAAAATTGTTGACAAACAGAATAAATAATTGATTATTTTATATGCAATATCTTTTTTCTTACCTTTTTTATTTTCTGGATCACTGAGTTGATGTCATCTCTTGCAGGAACCAGCTCCAATTCGAATAGTCCTCCTGGCTGACAAGAGCTAGGCCGGACACAATGATGTACCCATCCAGATCCTTTGCAGATGCAAGAAGGAATGTACTTCGCTCGTTCATGTCATCTTTCAAGTGGGTGCCATCTAAAACCGATCACGTAAAGACACTGTTGTATCGCTTCAATCAAGCACCCAGGAAGATACAAGCTCTCTTGAAAGCGTCCCCAGAAGTCTTTTCAAAATTGTGCTGTTTTTATGGATTTTGAGGGGCCACCAATCAAAGATAGGACTCCACCCTTTGGTAGCTCTCCAGAATGTTGCCGTGCAGAGGGTCCAGCAATTGTCGCTTGATTTTAGATGCGGTCTGTCGATGAGTTACAATCTGCTTAGCCATCAGGAATACCAGGATAGTCTTTCCTGTGACAAAAACCCACGAACCGATGTAGGCCGGAAGAATCTCTCGCTCACCGAGGCCTCTAATAGCGCCGAATGGGACATTATGCCGACTTCTTCCTGCGCCAACTGTTGTTGGCAACAAGCAGCGAAAAGCCGCACCGACGCGCAAATTCTCCGTATCGCTTCAGCAGTGCTGTTCTCGATTCGAATTCCACGGTTGCAACATTCCCCCGACACCTACCCAAACGTGCCCGATTTTAAACGGTCTGTTCCCACGATTAAATTATCCCAGAGCAACTTCATTTCGCGCAGGACGTTGATGTCGCTATCCGCCACTAAACTCAGGAAAAGGGCTGAGCCGAAAGACGAACGGGGTCTAGGCTGTACTTATCCTTCGGTGGAGTTGTTTGATGCGCCTGCCCTCAGAAACTCCCACGCGGGCTCCTATGCTGGTGCCGATTGACGATAGCTAGTCGTTTGGTTCCGGTGTCGCTTGACGTGCCTCCATCGTTTACGACAGCGTAGTGAAGTTGTAGCTAAGCTGAGTAGTGCTTGCAAGGAGAGAGAAAAATGTTTATGAGGTTTTGGCCTGCACCAGCACGGGTCCGCCTGGGAATGTCTTTCGTTGTGTAACATCTGATTTGTATTCTAAAAGTAGTGTTTGAGAGCAAAGCGAAAGTGTTCCTCGTAAGTATCCTTCATGGTCTTCATCCTCGTTGTCTGGTACTACTTCATCTTTGTTTAAACTTTAGAAAGAACCATTTGTCGACTTAAAAAAGAATCGTACGACTTTCTAAATGAAAATCGTTCGACTCTTAAAAGATAAAGGGCCGTCAGATTATCTGACTCAGATATTACTTTTTAAATTTGAAAGTCTATTTGTGAGCCCTAGTCTACTTGTATGGTCTATTCCCTATACTTACATTTGTACAAAATTGTTGGCTTTCAACTGTGTGTAGGCCAGCGGTAGATGGAGGCAGGCATTGCTTGCTTATCGAGGGTACACCGCAGTTTACACCATATGTAGAAGTGTCCTTGGAACCCGCTCAGCGTTGGTAGGTGCTTGTTTGGCCAGGTACTGCAATAGCATGCCGTTGCACTTCTAGAACCTGCATACTGTACCTTTCTGCCAGTTTAGCAGCTCAGCAGGGCCCCTGCAGCATCAAAGGCATCATTAGGCATGCTTAAAGTCGTGCAAGATGATGCAAAGGCTTCCGAACGTCACCATTCAGGAATGGTAGGCGATTTCCAAAATGGTTCACCTAAACAGGTAAACCATTTCAAAAATAAATCAACCGTAAGACATATGGTCGGCCATTTCGCAAAATAATCGCCGCGGAGAAGTTAATTATGACTCCCCTAATACCGTATCGTCTTAGTCGTTGGCGACAGGGGCAGATAGAGAGTGTAACTAGGCTATACTTCAAATCCTAAGATCTAAGTGAGACATAGCGGAAATTTATCTGAAAGATAAGCACACTACTGTATATTATAAATTACTTGTCTTCGTTATAACTCTCATCCTCAATACCGCTGCATTCACTTCTAATGTCGTCCTCAGAAGTGACCTCTTCTTCTGCAATGTTGTAGCGTTCTAAGTCAGAGACAATACTCTCAAGCTGCTCTACATTTGCTTCAACAGTGTCGCCATCTCTAACGTCGGTGAGCAGACCTACTCTAGCAAAACCACTAATTATTGTCTTAGAAGACAGTTTCGACCAGTAAAAAGTGATCCATTGCTTCATAACAGGTCTTCCAGTGAAAAATTTCCAGTTTTTCTCAGGGCACCCACCTTTCTACTTGGACTTTGTATGTAATCGTAGGAAATACAGCGGGAAAAACACGAACATTTCGAGTGGCTCATCCTGAAGATTCGCGCATTCTCTATGAGCTGAGAAAGACACATGATTTTGCATAGTTTTGTAGGAAGCAATCCCGACACAAAGCTAGTTGCTGTGATTGGATAAAACTCGACACGCATAGCTCGCACTTCCGTTCTTTCGAACCACAGCAACAAATCTAGCAGACCAGCACAACCTCGTGCTCTTCTCCTACGCCACCGACACCTTCTGCTACAGCGTTACTATGGAGCCCATCAGCAGCAACACGACAGCTCCTCTCGCAAGCGCCGACAGCCAGACGACGAGCCCTCTCTTGGGCTCCAGTAACAGAATGGTGACTCCTCTCTCCGGTACCTGCAGCAGCATTACGGCTCCGCTCTTCGGCTCCAGCAGCAGCATCACGACTGATCTTCCCGGTTCCGGCACCACCACCAGCACGGCGGCATCTCGTTTTGGAACTGGCGCCAGAACAACGGCCTCTCTCTCTCTGGCTTCAGCAGCAGCGGCTCGGCTCTTCACTCGGACTGGGACGCCAGAAGCAGCGCGATTCCCCCGCTCTCCGGTGGTACTGGCGACAGTATGGCGATCCCGAGGTAACTGTTCATGACGTTCGAGACGCGTGCGTCTCGAGCAAAACACAGCGGGCTTACAATGGGAGCTTACGACTAATCTCGCGATGGATTAAGGCAACGAAACCAGAGAATACAGACCAGTATTTTGACTCAAATAGACAGATCAACCTGGATCATTTCACCCCTTCCGATTTCGATGATTTTCTACTGGAAAAACGGAAATCCGTAAGCGTCGGCATGTTAAGTGGATATCGCAGTGCGATAAAAGATCTTTATCGCAAAAAGGAAAGATCACTGCCTCTAGCGTACAACAGCAAATTGACAAGATTGTTTTCAGGTTTAAAACGCATGGAGGCCTCCAAGTTCCAGTCAGGATCTCCTAAGGAATCGAGAAAAAACCCATTGCCATTCTCTTTATATTGCGAGTTATGTCGGGCAACATTGGCTCGTCAAGATGCTGGCTTTGCGCATCTCTTTT